TTCTTGATGGTAAGCTGTGAAAATTGTATTAGAATAATTTAATTTGATTTTTGGTATTTTCGTCAGTGACAGGTATGTTACACTGACTTGATTTTATCAGGCTTGCAAAGTTTAGAAAGCTAAAGAATAAATCAAGAGCAATATATAGAGTTTAGAGTTTAAATGAATCAATGGTCCCTTATACAGCAACTCGCTTGTTCTAGAATTTTCTAAATATTTCTTATGAAACAATATTTCAGCCAGAATGGCAATCAGCTGCCAATGTTGTGATGACGTTCGCTTATCGTCTTAGGCAACACTTTTTCACTTCTCCCGTTCGTGACACGCTGATTATTTGAGCAGCATGATTTCTTGATCAATCATCTATATTACTAGAGAATCTTTTTTCATTTCTTGCAAATTTGCTTTTCACTTTGAAGAAAGACAAGAAATTACACATCTCTGATAGAAAAACGCAACTTTTATGTTGCTCTTATTCATTTCTTCGTCTCATATACACTAAAAGTTATTTGGATAAGTATTTAGCGGATTTTTCAACATATATTCATCTTCATCTCCCTTCTGTTCTTCAGTAATTTGTAATGTTCATAGCTCATACAACTATTAACATATTTATGATCCATTGAAATCTTTCTTTTCTTTGTCAGCAGGGTTTAGTTGAGAAGTAATCGTGGCGCTGTAACAGCTTTTGTAGCATAAGAAATATGACCTAAATTATATAAGACATATTGATTTATATAAGACATATTGACATTCGACCGTTTTTTGGTAACCTTATTTCTTAGTCAAAGCAAATTACGGCTGCAAAAGATAATAGAACGCCAGTAAGACCTGATAAACAGATCATGATATCATAAGAAGCATTTTCTTCTATTGCTTTGTTAAAGATGATCTGACAGGTTCGACATAAGGACACTTTCTCCTACTGACACACCTATATAGTAGTTAGTCTTTACGAATCTCTTATGTAATAGTTCAATCCAGAATTTTTCTTCCTAAACAAATTTGTCAGGTACAAAATCTTTTGAAATCAAGTTCTATTAAGAGAAACATATTATATGAGATTGTTCCTTTTTCCTTCAATATTATGTTTGAAATATTAAGCTTTCACTGTTCGCTGGATGATTGCGAAAGTTTGAAATGCGTCATTTTCGATTTGACTATTATGACAACAGATGTACATCACATGAACAATGAAATAGATACCATTTTTGGTTGTTTGTCTGTATGAAACTTATTCATAGCAGTGAACTAGGAAACTTCCCTTTTGGTTCATAGCAATAAACCAAACCCTTTTCTGATACATGCTTTTCCGTGGATCGCTTTTGAACAATGAATTCAAGCTCTATCGAAGTTTCGTCCATCACGCATTCATCTCCAATATGCATTCCATGCACTGCTACGAACACAAAGCCGAGTGGATTAGATTCCTTCTGCGTCCGATCGTGTGTAGGCCATCAAATAATATTCCTCGCCTAGAAAGCTTCTTCTTGAACGATGTTAGTAAAATTTTCATCAATTCACTTTCAAATCTTCGTAACCTGCATTTCGCGACTGCAAAATGGAGTCTTCGTGTGACCCAGTAAAAATTCTGTAACCCTACACACAAATATTGTGTCTGGTACTTCTAATCTGTACGTTCTCCTTCAGTTTGGTGGAATGGTGCTGAAACTGTGTTACGACCGTACAATCGGCATCCGAAAGATTTTGTCGTTACCGAACCTACTGATAATTGATATTTTTTGTATGTCACTTCGATCTTGATCTTACCCTTCCCTCTACGTAAATCTGACATGAGTGTGGACCGAAAACTAAATTAATGTGAATATTGGAGAATGATACTCGCCCATTTTTCTCTGTTTAGCTAGAATCATACTCTATGGGCATGAAATGGAGGGCGATTAGAATCTATCAGAGGCAGGCCAAAGGAGAAGCCTCTTCGTTTTTTCCTTCCACCACCCCCCCCCCCCCACAAATAAGTGTAAGTGATGAGACCTGATTAGCGGTCACGAGAACTTGAGGAGCAAAATTCCAATGAAGCCACTGGTCTTAGGAATGGTAGGAAGGAATTTGTAAACAATGTTTGAAAAGACCAAAACGTTTTGCAATAAAATACGAGATCGAAGGCAACCGCAACAAGTCTTGCACAAATGTACGAAATTGGATTATGGGCCTCACGGCCTAGGAGAAGATGGGATGTAATGTTCTAGTTTCTTCCGTTTTGCGACCAGCAGATATACGTAGTACACTCAGGGTGCCCTTATAAAACGTTGGCCTCTGGCTTTCGCGCACTCTCTCACTATCCCAATGCGTTTACAAAACGTAACGAAACTACGGTATTCGTGATGAGCATGTTAGATAACTCCCACGAAATCAATTTGAGCAAGATCCATCTTTTCTGAGGTTTCGATACTGGGATAGCGCGCAAGGCGGCTACAGGCGGCTAGCGGCGTCTGCTGGCACGATGAAGACACCCTTATCGAAGACTCACGCTTTCAAAAATTGCAGAATGACGTGGGCTTAACAAAACATCAGGCGTTTCTAGTTTCTTTTTCAGCGTTTTGTTTGTAGCTTCTACACACACCTGCGACCAACATGTGGATTGAGCTGGGAGGCGGTCACCATGAGCGACTATTAGTATTGCATTTGATTGGTTTTGTAAGTCTGTACAGGTAGATTTGTTAGTAAACACAGTGCCCTTGCAGTGCCAAGAAAAGGCGGTTGAATTTGAGCACGAAATAATTACGCCTGTAATGGCGGCAATTTGATGATGCACGCATTATATGCGGCTTCAGGGGTTTCAATCTGAGTGTCACTGTCGGCGCGGCTCGGACCCTGGCGAGCCGCTTCGCTTGGGTCTCTCGCCGCGCTTGCCCTCAGCGGTAAGGTGTTTTCCCACGCTTGAGGCAAAGGAAAGCCCGTATCCTCAAACACCAATTGCTAACCAGCTTGGAAAAATGCCCCCAGAGGCGTTCGCGAACGCGTCGAGTGGCCCAAGCGAGGCGGCTCGCGAGGACTCGGGCGGTGCCGACAATGACACTCAGTTTGAAATCGAAATTCCCTGTGTTGCAAATTTTACCGCATTCATTGGCACGACAAGGACACCCTAACAAATCTGCTCGACTCTATGTACGGTACGACGCATCTGAAGAATTGCTTGGAATATTTGAAGGCAGTATTCGGGCAAGATTTTGGGTTGTAGGATTTTAGTGCTACGTGAAAGCGGAAGCCCTCGGACTCGCCATCGCATAAGAGCGAAGCTATAACGATCAGCAATGAGGAATCCGCTTGGAATTTGATAGTGTGTCAAATTTTGCCGATTCCCATAGACTTCGTGACTCCAAAGTTACATTACTCAATCTACCTCTATGTGCCGCCAGTTATTTGTCTGGATAAATCGCGTTAAAAAGGTGCAACATCTAGGGAATGTGCATAGTGAGGGCAAGCAACTATAAGAGGGTTAATATGGAGCACTAGCACAGGTGCATTAGACGCGCAAATTGTTGTAACTGCTGGAAATCACAGCTCCTCGATAGCGATAGTAAACCAAAGCGCCGGCTTAGTGGAGTTGCTTTTCCTACTGTATTTAGGAGATTTACGCCCTAGAGAACCTCGCTGTAGGATTTCTACCGGTAGGATGCCTATGCCGCCATAGTCGGGGTCATAGGGTCCCACAGTGACGCGCGTCTCAGTGTGGGGGGAAGTGTTTTACTCATTCAATAATATAAGCTTTGAAAAAAGGCTGCTGTTGCGTTCGCGCTCTCAGAGGTGGATTTTCATTAAGAATAGCAGTAAGCCAGTTAAGCGCAAAAGATAGTAACTGAGTATTTGCCCGGACACCCACCCCCTCCTTTCACCTCCGCCAGGGCTCAGCAGGAGCTGGCACCAGGGAAATTCTAAAAAGAAGTCCCCTTTGCTCTCTCTTTCTAGGAAGTTTCCTTTGACCCTAAACCATGGACAAAAAACCTCCAAAAAAAAACGAAACGTCGACAAAAAAGCGCAATTTTTGTGTCGTTTCGGCCTGAAAACATTATCCTCTTTGCTTTTTGTCCCAAAAACGTATCCTGCGTGACCACAGGGTGCCACTGTGTCGAGTCCTGCATCGTTGGAGCTCCCGAAGCTTGTGCAAACGCGACCTATACGAAAGGCATATAAACTGCGGATAACAGAATCCGCTGAACTTCGCTTGATGCAACTTAGTCAGAAAAGAAAGATAGCTTAGGCTCGCTTCATCTTAGAAAAAGCGGGGATTCTAATCTACCACGTAAGAGATGATTACTTGAATGAAGCATTCAAGACATCCGCAAATGATACATAGCATTTTGTGGACAGCCAAATATTGACTATGGGGGAAAAACAACGGGAAAGTGAGCGCGAGTCTCCCAACAAAGTTTGCATTCGTGAGCAGCAATAAGTTAACATGGAAAAAAACCAGAATTAGAAGCCAATTTCTTGATTTCTTCTAATTATTCATGGTATGTCTCTTCAAAAAGACAGCTGAAAAAATCAGTAGTTTCTTTCTCCGTAGAGTTCTATGTCTATTTCATCCAATTCGTATTTGTGCAAACTGTTCCATTTTTTAAGTGACGATGAAAAAAAACACCTCAAAGACCTAACAACGCTTCTACCTTTGTTTACATTGACCACTTCTCTCAATCCATCTTTGAAACAAGCATTGCTTGCAAGCAGAAAAATTCACAAGAAAATTCATCATATGTCAATGCACAGGATGTGAGCGGTCCGGCGAGGGCGATGGTGATAAACTTTGGAAGTTCAAGGAATTGCAAAAATCACAAGATTCTTTCTGATTTCTTTCGTGGGACTCGATATAAGATTGACCTTTTGATCTAAAGAGTGCAGCTGGCGTTCAACGCTGAAATCGTGAAGTTCTCAAGTAAAAAAAATCGTTCAAAGTTGACGCTCGATTGATAACGCATTCCGGGCTCCGTTTGCAGTACTCATTACCCACCGAAATTTGCTTCGCAAACAAAGATGCGTTTAGAATTTTTGAAAAATAAGGAAGTCTGCGGATAGAAGAACAACCAAACATCCACTTACTCAACACGACTTCAAGACCTTTGATAACCAGAAAATATGAATGCGGCAGGAGACGAAATGGCTCAATATATTCGGGTAAGCTCTTGCTGGTTTCGTAAAATCAACTCTCGAGCAGCTTGGTAACAAACCGTAGTTGCTCGAATTAGGAGCTCACAGGTCATGGTTCATAAAAATGGTGTTAAAGTATACGACTGGTGTAAAGAGTTCTCTATAGCAAATTGCTTTGCAACACAACCTCATTTCAAGAGCTAAAAGTAGCCTTTATATGTCTGACTGCTAATCCGTATGACTGTCAGAGTCTCATTTTAGATGCCATTCAAAGCTTTGGAAAGAGAATTGAAAAACAGTGAGACATCACTGCAAATTCTCCAAAAGACTCCAGCGTACTCAGAATCTTCTCGTAAAGTACGGCGAGTTTCCTTGCTGTTTACTTTTTACTAACTGACTGATTCTAGATCATCGACACCGAGATAACTCGCCTCAAGGAAAAAATCGTGAAGCTTCGCGCTGCGAGAGAAGAAAGAGTCCGATTACATGTTCACTGAATCTCTTATGCAATCATAATATACAGGTTTAACATAAAGTTTTTATACTGTGCAATACTCTCTGTACTACAAGAAATCACATTTCCATGAGAGAGGGAGCATGTTGCGACTTGCTGGGCTCAGCCTTCGATGTTCTACCCTCCATACAAAACCCCTTAAGTCTAGGCTTACACGTCTCTATTAACCTTTGACAGACGTGTTGTTGGATATGTTCGTCATAAATGCAGCACTTCCAATCTTACTGTAAACGTAGCCATAAGTTCGGATAGAGACTGATTTGGAAATATCTGTCGTTTGAACTTCCGCTATCATTATGAATGAGAGCTCTCTCAACGGATTTGCACAAACCTAATCATGCTAGATAGACGAACTCTTTTCTTTGTGGCAGTGCCTCTTCTGCTCTATAAGGGGCAGCTTTTTAGAAGGAAGCAGGAGAATAAAATTAACTCAACTCCATGTTGAGTTAGGCTGCTAAAGATTTGAAACCTGTTATGAAATTCCGAGCAAGCAGTATGATAAGTCTTTTGATCCACGCCAAGTGCAGAGTTTGTGTCAGATAAGCATTTCTGTGGAGAGTTATGATTCTGAAAAAAATGCTACTCAAATTTGTTGTTTTGTATAGCATTCTCAAAAATCATAGCTCATCACAGAAGTGCTTATTTGACACAAATTGTGCACTGTTGGACACTGTGGATCAAAATACTTACTATACATACTGCTTGTTTGGATTATGACAAGTCTCAGATCTTTGGCAGTGTAACTCAGAATGACCAAAGTTGAAGTAATTTTACTTTCCTGGTTTCATCTTGAAAGCTGCTCCTTATCAGAGAGCATAAAAGGCACTGCCACAAAGAGAAAGGTTTCGCCTATCTAGCAAAATTGAGTTTGTGCAAATTTGTCGAGAGAGCAAGAAGTTATGAATTCCAAAAATGTTACGACAACTTTCGCATCAACTTACAAGGGAATGGTCAGAAATCGAAGTGGCCAATTCAAGCAAGCTGCATACCATTCGATGCAGCATAGAATGCTGATTTCAGATCTGTCTTCCTTATCTGCAGAGCGCTTTTGTAGGCGAAGTTATAAGCCGTTAAATGTCATCATTTTGCTAAGAAATTGTGCGTGTAAAGGTCAAACTTGGCCGTACAAAGCCATTCTCGGCTCATTGTTGGACCAAAACGTGTAACTAGGACGGCTCATATGGCTCGTACCTAAAGGTGAGCTAAAAGAGCAGTGATCTGCCTGATTTCGCAGTTTTTGTGGACGATTTTTCCGCAGTAAAGCTGCTCATAACTTCGCCCACAAAGGCGCTCTGCAGATACGGAAGACACATTTGAAATCAGCATTCTATGCTGCATCGAGTGGTATGCAGCTTGTATGGATTGGCCACTTCGACTTCTGACCATTCCCTTGTTAGTAGTAGGCTGCTGTATAAGTTCTGTCCAATTTTTTTCTGCCTTATGTTTGAAGCAGCTGTTCTAAGAGAATTTCGTATCTAATGCGGTAGTGTTAGTATCATTAGAAAGTGCTTTTCTTGCGCTTTCTAAAGCATGTCAAACTTCAATAAATTTCTTAGTGTAAGGGGATTTCAGGCCTAAAACCTCCGAGTGGTCGAGGTACGTTCTCATCCTAGAAATATGTTCTTGCGGGGAAACCTGCACAATGCGCCCTTCAAGTCAAGTTTTTCAATTGGTTGCGGAATAAGAGTGTTACAGGCTAGCATACGCATAAGTTCAGTTTCATGAAGAAAACGTCTTGCTGGTAAAATTTATTGTCAAACATTGATTTTCTGTATAAATGTTTTACAAGCAATAACTTTCTGCGAATAGAAGTAATCGATGAGTTCAAAGTTGGAGGTGCTAGGGTAAAGCAGAGCTAGCAGGGCCCATCTACCAGTTCCTTTTCGGCGCTCACGTCAGTTGTAAGGTTTTCATTATTCGTAAATAGGCATGCACACATGCACTGAGACGAATTGAAAAAGTAGATTTTTTTTGCTCGGTCTAAAAAATCTCTCGGCAACGCAGACGCTATGATCTCTTTTATAACGCGAAAAAATCTACGAAAATTTCTCTATCTTTATTTAATTTCTCTATCTTTTTATCTTAATTTCTCTATTTTTCTCATTGTTAGTCAAGATGCCTATCAATTCTCATAAGGGAGCATTGCCATGTCAAAAAAGACAGGTCTGAAGAAAAACGCTGTGAAGTTTTTGAGTTCTTGCTTCTTCGTTAACAAGGATTTTCGCAGGTTTCGATATGTATTTGATAGCCAAGGAATTGCCACAGAAAATAAGATCTTGGGAAAAAGTTGACATTGAAGGAAGTTATGACATTTTGAACTCAAAAAAATTCAAATCGGACAGTTATCTGATTCCAATGCGGTATGGACGCAGTACCTCTCATCTTTCCGAGCGACCCAGGGCAGTGTTGGGGAATCAAAACAACAAGTTAAATAATCGAGGAAACTGCTAGAATTTTTCTCGATTGCTATCTCGAATCAAAAAACAGCTCTTGACGCTGTCAGCGCGTAAGACATCAAGAGCTTCAAAAATAGAATTTTAGGGAATTTGTTTTAAGCCAGAGCATAGGAAACAAAAGCACGAGCGAATGGAAAGTGGAGGCGCGAACGATCAAAAAAGAATTATCAGAGACGACAGGCTGAAATTTTAGCGCACTCTCAATAAAACTAGGTAACATCACACATTATTTTTCGTGATGTGATGAAGAAAAGCACTAAAACATCGCAGAAATTTGAAAAGACCTTTTTGCCTCGAGTCTGCGAGTACATCTCTAGCGTGTATAGGTTTCCTTTTAGCTCGTGAAGAAAGTTATTTAAACTTCAGAATAGGTTCTGTTGTGTTAGTGTCTGATCAGCTGTTTCCTCGTATGATCTGCCCTCGCTGAGGCGCCTGCGACCTCAATGCGCGGGAAATGAGCGCTATAAAAGGCGCTCGCTGTTAGCCATTGTGAGTTCGACTGTTCACTCATCGCCTCTTTTATTTTTACTGTTCTCTATTATTTGCTAATAAATATTCTTGTATTTACCGGTGTGCGCCTCAGGACGAAAAGTCGACGTGTCCGAAGTGGAGGACACAACAGTGGCGATCAGGACGTGCGGCTATTATTAAAGAATAGCAGAAGAACGAAGCTTTGGACTGAATCGAAGATTCGTAAGCAGAAGTGATCGATCGACATGGCGAAAGTGGACGTCCAGGAGATGATGATGGTCTTCAAGGAGATGATCAAAGAAGAAAGAAAGGAAATATGGAGATGTTCCTGAAATACATCGGCGGCACGAATCAAGGCAGTTCGACGGAGATTCCGAACATGATGTCCGCACTAAGCAATCGGATCGAAAAATTCTACTTCGACCCCGAAGCGGACATGTGCTTCAGCAAATGGTACGCGCGCTACAAGGAAGTCTTCGTCGAAGATGCGAAGCAGCTGACAGAGAATGCCAGGGTGAGGCTTCTCTGTGAAAAGCTGGACAAGGACAGTTTCGAAAAGTACCAGAGGCATGTACTCCCGAAAGAGGTGACCGCGATCAAATTCGAAGATACTGTCGAAACCTTGAAGCAGTTGTTCGACGTGAAGATTTCGGAATTCACTATGCGGTACCAGTGTTTGAAGCTGGAAAAGGTGGATTCCGAAGACTACCTCATGTATACGGGCCGAGTGAACGAACTATGCGAGAAAGCGAAGATCCACGACTTGGATAGCGATGGAATCAAATGTCTTCTTTGGATTTTTGGCCTGAAGAGCCAAAAAGAAGCAGAAATCAGGCAGCGACTCATAGCCGTACTGGACAAGGAGTACAAGGCTGGACGAAAAATGTCGCTGCAGGAACTGTACCTGGAGTGCGAAAACTTCCTGAGTCTCAAGAAGGATAGTGAGACTGTAGCTGGTTGCGCGAAGATTGTCGAAGCAACAAGCAAGGAGGAACCCAAGAAGCTGGAATGCTGGAACTGTGGTAAAGCTCATTTTGCTAGGGAATGCAAAGCGAAGTTGTGGTTTTGCATGAAGTGCAAGACGACAGGTCACAAGGAGAAGTACTGCGAACAAGTGGCGGAGAGAAAAACATTTGTTCAGCGAGATTCTAAACGAAGAACCCACAGAAGCAGTGACACCAGTAAGAGCAGAAATTGGACGAAACCAAAACGTCATGTGCACAGCGTAGCGAAGATTGCAAATGCGATGGTGGATGTCAACTCGACACGCATGTATATCGAAGCAAAAGTGAACAGTCATCCAGTTAATTTCCTGCTAGGTACTGGATCAGACATCACACTGTTAAACGAATCAATTTGGAGAAGCATAGGTTCTCCTCGGCTGGAGAACATCAACGTGGTTGTCAAGAACGCTAGTGGAGGCTCAATGGATGTCCTTGGAAAGCTATGGTGGACTACGAGATCAAAGGATCCAGAAGCGAAGGCTATGCATACGTGACGCCTCATAACTCACTGCTAGGACTCGAATGGATCCAGAAGAACGAAGAAATGTCCTATCACTTAAGCAGAATGGTTGCTGAAGTGAAGACAGAGCAAACCAAGGACATCGTTCTGAAGCTAAAGGAAGCCTATCCGGAAGTCTGCAAGGAAGGTTTAGGGCTCTGCACGAAGGAGAAAGCACACATGAGAATTAACGAAAATGTTCGTCCCGTTTTCAAGGCTTGCAGGCCTGTTCCATATGCTGCACTCGAAGCTGTCGAAAAGGAACTGGACAGGCTATTGGAGCTGAAGGTCATAAGTCCAGTGACACACAGCGATTGGGCAGCTCCCATCGTATGTGTCAGGAAGGCAAATGGAAAGTTGAGAGTGTGTGCTGATTTCTCAACTGGACTCAACAGAGCCTGGAGTCGTACGATTATCCGTTACCACTGCCGGAGGACATATTCGCATCGCTCAATGGAGGTACAATATTTTCGCAGAGATCTGTCGGACGCTTATCTGCAGACCGAGTTGTCAGAAGAAGCGAAGAAACTGGTACTGATAAATACGCATAGAGGATTGTACCAGTACAATAGGCTGCCTTTTGGAATCAAGACAGCTCCAGGGATCTTCCAGCAAATCATGAACAAGATGGTGACTGGTCTGCGAGGGGTAGCAACCTACCTAGACGACATCTTGGTTTGTGGAAGAACCGAAGAAGAACACCTGACGAACTTGTTAGCTGTATTTGCAAGGATCGCTGAATACGGATTCAGAATCCGCTTGGAGAAATTTTTTTTCGCTAAGCCAGAGATTCGATATCTTGGTTTCATAGTGGATAGAAATGGCGGAAGACCGAATCTAGCGAAGAACGAAGCGATCAAGAATATGGATGAGCCGAAGAATGTTAGTCAACTGAGGGCTTTTCTTGGCATGTAACGTACTATGCGGCGTTCATGCTAAAGATCAAGGATCTTCGTGGACCATTAGATGCATTGCTGAAGAAGGATTCGAAGTGGGAGTGGACTCGAACCCAACAAGAAACATTCGAGAAGCTCAAGGATACACTGTCAAGTGAGCTCAACCTTGCTCACTATGACCCAAGACAGAAGATTGTCGTGGCAGCGGACGCCAGCGACTATGGAATTGGATGCGTAATATCACACAGATATCCTGATGGATCCGAAAAGCAAATTGCGCACGCATCGCGGTCTCTCACGAAAGCAGAGAAGAATTATTCGCAAATCGAAAAGGAAGCATTAGGAATTGTCTTCGCAATCAAGAAATTCCGCAGGTACATATTTGGACGAAAATTTTCATTGTTGACGGACCATCAACCACTGCTAGCCATCTTCGGTGATAAGAAGGGAGTTCCAGTCTACTCCGCTAACCGACTCATGAGATGGGCTACAATCTTGCTAGGTTATGACTTCGACATAGAGTATGTCAGGACTACGAAGTTCGGGCAAGCAGATGGTTTGTCACGATTGATGAAAAAGAGTCAGAATCTCGAAGAAGACGTTGTGATAGCTGCCGTTGAGAATGACGTAAACTACATGTTGAAGAATTGTATTAGGAAACTACCCGTAACAGTATCAGATGTGCAATCCTAAACGAAGAAGGACCCGGTGCTACAAAGAGTGATGACCTACGTGAAGAAAGGGCAGTGGCCAGACACGAATAGAGAACTGGCACATTTTCGAAATCGAAGAGGGACATTGTCAATCGTGGAGCAGTGTCTGATGTCGGCGGAAAGGGTTGTGATCAGGGTCAAGCTTGTGATGCGACTGTCGCAACGGGGGGTCGTAAGAGGGTATCCAAGGTGGGGGGGGGGGGGGTCGTAAGAGGAGATAGCTAGGCTAAAATAGCCTAGGCTTCAGAGGGAATCAAAAAACAGACAATTAGTTATGTTCTTTACAATGAATTTATAAAAAAGTGGAAATCAGAATAAAAAAGATAAAAAATCTGTAAAAATTCTCAAAAAAAAACATTTACAAGAGCTCAAAACACTTTTGAAGGATGTATTATTTTATAAAAATGCTAAATGTACCGATTGCCTTAGAAATCTTGTTTCTGAAGCCTTCCTGAAGCCTCACACACTCGACAAAAGCGAATGTCTTTACCAGCTGTGACCATCATAAAATTCTAAATCTTTTTGTAATGTTTTTCACGGGCTCATATGATTTATCTGTACTTTTGAGATGCTCCGCTATATCACTGCAAAATTTGGTGTTATTTTGTCAACTGTGGATTTTATTATGATTTTATGTATGGTAGCAAAAAGTCAGGAAAGGGGGGTCGTATCTGGGTCGCATCTAAATTTCTTCGGAGCTATTGAAGCTTGTTGGCTGCAATTCTGCTGTAATATGAGGCCATCCTCCTACTTTCCCTCATAAAAATTGCAGGCTGTTTCATAACTCCTCTGGTAAGTTACAAAATTTTAAGCTCAAAAATCCCAGTTTTTGCTTTTTAGGATCGCATCTAAATTTGCGAGAGTCGCATCTAAATTTTTTCGAGCTTACTGCTCCTCAAGAGCTGAAACTTTTTCTATGGATAGTCTGGGCACTATACTGCAGAACCTGTGCTTTCCAGCCTCTCATTGTTTTCCTGGCCTTAGTTACGAATTTTCAAACTACCGTGCTCATGCACGTTTATGACGTCGTTCTGGACGGCGCTCAAGCAGTTTTTTTCGCGGGAAAAACTGTGGAAGAGGTAGGAAGTAAGCTTGTTAGTTGAAAACATTTTTTGTAGTTCAAGAATGCGTTTTTTTCTCCGTGCAAAAAATTTGTGTCGTCTACGGGAATCGAATTTGCTGGCCTGAAGTATGCTGAAAATTCAAAAAAAAGACTTGCAGAATCTCAAACATTATTAGAGGTGTGTTGTGCTGCAGATGATGGACGCACCCACTGGCCTAGAAATTCTGCTTCCGAAACCTCACTGAAGTTCTCACGCAGGTGTTTGAGATTGACATTCGTTTATGCAGGTCACCGCGAGGAATGTGGGCAGGGGAGGTAAGGGGAATAAATGGGTGAAGGTGGGGAGGGGGGGGGGAGAGGGAAAGGGTGGGGGGGTCGTACGGATGGGTGCCCTCAAAGAGGGGGGGGGGTCGTAAATGAGGGTCCCGGATCGCATCAGCACGCTTGACCCTGGTTGTGATACCCAAGGAGCTTCGAAGAAATATTCTAAGGGAACTGCATAGTGGTCATCCAGGGATTGTAAGGGTGAAGAAACTGGCTCGACGTTACGTCTATTGGCCGAATATAGACAAGGATTGCGAAGACTTGGTACGAAGATGCACGAAATGTCAGGAGTTAGCCAAAAATCCGACGAAGGTACCATTGAAAGCCTGGCCGTCCGCGACTCGAGTGTGGCAGAGAATACACATCGACTTCGCTGGACCTATGCAAGGAGTTTTCTACTTGGTCGTGGTAGATGCGTACAGCAAATGGCCTGAAACGATCGAGATGACCAATATCTCGGCTGCGAAGACGATGAAGGCTTTGAAGAACTTGTTTGCGAGGTGTGGATTACCGCAAACAATAGTGAGCGACAACGGTACCCAGTTCACATCGGACTTATTCAAGAAGATGTGCGACGAAGGTGGAACTACCTATATAAGGACTGCTCCATACCACCCTCAATCGAATGGACGGGCAGAGCGTTTCGTTGATACGCTGAAACGCGGAATCAAGAAACTAGAGGGGGAGGAGAGGCCAACAGAAGAGACTCTCAATGTGGTGTTACAAGCGTACAGGACAACACCAAACACGAACTTGAACGGACGCCAGCAGATTTGTTCTTCGGCAGGAACTTGCGCACAAAGTTAAGTCTGTTACTACCGATGACAGAAGATGCAGAAGACCCACTCGCACGAAGAAGACGAGAGCGCATAAAGGATCAGTTTGACAGAAAGCATGGAGTCACTCGGAAAGAGTTCGAAGCCAGTGACTTAGTGGTTAAGCAGTGGAAGCCACCCCACTTCCACTGGATGAAAGGAACCGTGATGAGACGTATTGGACGCGTAAATTATGAAGTTATGGTTGGTGATGAGATATGCAAGAAGCATGCAAATCCGCTACGGCATCGAAGCGATAGTGACCAGGTCGGGTACGACAACAACTTCAACAACAATCCGAAGCCTTGAAGATACTGTTAGATGTTCTGACAGAAGACGACACACTACCTAGGAATGGCAATGCTGCTGAAGGGAGTTCCGAGCAAGCGAGCGATGTGCCAGCACCCGTGGATTCAACGACATCGACGTCGACATCAAACCACGAGCCCTCCACGCCATCGACAACGCTTCGGAGATCGAGCAGAACGAGAAGACCTGTACAACGGTTCCAACCCAGTGCATAATATTTTATTGTATGTTTGTTTCATTAGTTTTGTAGTTGTTTAAGTTTCTATGTATGACCGATTTCTTAGCTGTTCATATTTGTAGTTCATGCTTTTATCGTAGGCTAGTTTTGTGTAACTACCCTACCGGGGGAGGTGTTGTGTTAGTGTCTGATCAGCTGTTTCCGCGTATGATCTGCCCTCGCTGAAGCGCCTGCGATCAATGCGCGGGAAATGAGCGCTATAAAAGGCGCTCGATGTTAGCCATTGTGAGTACAACTGTTCACTCATCGCCTCTTTTATTTTTACTGTTCTCTATTATTTGCTAAATGATAATATTTGAACACAGGAAGTGGCTGACTGAGTTGAGGTGTTATGCCTTCTTGTATGAGCGTTTTATGCTCCTGTGGGCGCAAAGTCCGCAGTAAAATCGTCGTCACGATTTTATAGATGAACTATATGACTTTTTTATCCGGAAACATTTATCTGGTAAATATCCAGCAATACGACTCTCAATTTTGTCATTCCCGCATGACAGATACCGAATTACACGGTTCGGGAAGGTTGAAAAAGCCGCTTCGCTACAGTGCTTCAAGGAAGAACATATCCCCTTATTTTTGACATGCTGCCACTGTTGCTACGTTCTTTGATACAACTTTTATCTTTGTTGGCATGAAATCTGATTATGCGAAAGTTGTGACTCAAGTATGCGAGCTACGGCCTTTCGCTGTTGTTCCCTCATCTCAGACTCGTGGCGCCTACAAAAATCTTTTCAAGAAACTCAGAATACAAATGAATTATACAATAACCTCCACTTCGTTCTTCTGTTTTGAAACCACGTTTTGACTTGTGCATCGCTCATATTTAACTGCTCTGCCAGTGAAGTACGTTCTGATGAAGTAAGGTACTTCTGTAGACAGAAACGCTCTTCTAGAGTCGCAATCTGAAAAAGATGTGAAGAAACATCTTGAAACATTCAGACCTATGATAATGGAATAGAACGTTGCTTTACTAGAAGGTCCTTCAAACAAGCCATATTCTCGCTCGTAGGAGGTTTGGAGAAAAATGGGTAGTTTTCTGTCATCCGGACCCATTTTTCAAGAGAAGAATATTGCAGATTTCCTTGTACCAGTTTGGTAAAAACCTCTCAGAACAGAGAGTCAACCGATTGTTTTGCTTTTATATAAGACCTCTGAACGACTTTCGAGTCATTTTAAAATCTCTCTACCTCACTGGAAATGATTTCGAAAAAGCATGTCAAACAGTTTTCAAATGTGTCAATTTTCATTTTGACACGTGGCAAGGAGACAGTCCTCACAAGATCTATGAAAAACATTTTTGGATTGAAGCAAGTATTTCATGTGAACATTTTGAAAAAATGGGTCCGGATAACGGAAAAGTACCGAAAAATGTCCTAGGTCTCGGACATCGCAAGAAAATTCATAAATGCAGAATCTAGGATTCATATTACACGCAATTACCTCAACCTATCTTACAAATTTACACGAATCAAAGATCTCATTGTCAGTAGAAACAGCCATTACATTTTTCTAATTCGAAAAATAATGAGAAGTAGCTTGCGTTATTCGTCCAAATTTTTCTAAATGAGAAGGAAATTTGCAGAAGAAGACGATAGCAGTTGTGGAGAAAAGGCAACAACGGCAAATCGACTTGGAAATAAAGTGTAATTCAATCTATAAATTTGATTACCAAACTTGATGACAAAAATGTTACCTTTCTCAGAGGTACGATCAAAGCGAGCAAACCAATAAACTGCAAAAAATATTAGATCTTGACCAGGGCCTGGCACCAGCTGGCACGGGGCAAGCTGGATATCGTTTTTGGGGCAAAAAGCAAAGGGGGTTTCGTTTTTGTGGGCGAAGACACGTCAAAAATTGGCGACCTTTTTTTAGTCGACGTTTCGTTTTTGGCGGGATTTTGGGGAATTTTTCAGGTTTTTAGAGGGGATATCGTTGAGGGTCAAAGGGGACTTCGTAAAATTTTGGGAAAGTCAAAGGGGACTTCGTTTTGAAAATTTCCTGGTGCCAGCTCGTGCCGAGCCCTTCGACCCTTTACATCGGTTTCCTTTCCCAATTGCTGTAAATGAGCGTGGAAAGGCTCTAGGGTGAGGAACGTTACAAGATTACTAAAAATGTGCAACATGATACACAGGTAGCTCCTTTCACGTGTATAAATGACAAAATTTTTAAAAAATACTCCAATACAAATCAACAGTGTTGGCTACCGTCTCTCCCCCATTTTTTTTTTCATTCGAGGTTATAATTCTACTAATTTGAAAAGCGTCGAAAAAAATTGTGTAGGTAAATTTGAAATTTTGTGTTTTTTGAGTAGAGTGGAGTTAGCCACGCTTCTTTACTCAAAATCGTGTACAGCCACTCGTTGGAACATATGTGAAACAAAATCTGTAGTAATCATGGATGCAAGGAGTGCAAATAGTCCTAAAAAAAGAAGAAGTTTAAGGCAGATGAAAGATTTTGCTACTAACATTTTCTGAGACTTGTATAAATGTTGTACAGCAATCATTCCGCAGCTTTAAGTTGTCCGTATTCTTAGGAAAACTTCTAAACACAGACTAAACGAGGAAGCTTTGCATCACGCAACCGTGGACGTTTAACTACACGACGAAAGGAATTAGATGTGATGAGTTGAAGCCTGACTACCTGGTCTTTGCTAAATGACGTTCGCATCTTTTTATCCTTGCTTTTTCCTCCAGAGCTGCCTCCTTCTTTTTGAAAATCCTTAGCTTCCTAAACCAAGCTGACAAACAGAGCTTACAATGATCTCACTCACTACTGAATACAAGATTTTAGCTAACCTCAACGCATCCGTACAGGAGGTGATTTATTGAGAACAGAGTATTTTCCATTAGTGAATGGATAGAACAAGTGTTGGCTTTCATTAAACGAGGGAGGACATTGAAATCATTGACGTAGCAAGATGTTAATTTCAAACAACCCTCCTGATGGCTATTAACAACGAGCCTAGTGGCAAATTAATCCGAATGAAAAGTGAGGAAAGCGCGAACGGGGGCAACAAGAGTGTTTAGCATTGTCCTGTCGCTATGTGGGAGCAGCCAGATTTGAAGTGAAGTATTCCTGAACTCTGAAAAAATAGTATGCTTTTCGAAAAATGGAGGCCTCAGCATTTTGCTCGATCAAGAATCTAGAACAAAATGCAACAGCGTGTCCGTCGAGTTGGCAAGGATTGGCCGTAGATTGAGGAGCAAGCGCGCACCACTAAAAATCGCTACTGTACAATCCGTGATCGTGACATTCCAGCTGCCCTGCGCATGCTCCGCAATTTATGGCCAGTCTCTGCGGTCGATGACTCAACAATATTTACCTCATCATAGCTGACGACCGTGTTCCGAAGCATCTGCATAAGCGCGAATTCTTTTTGAAATCTGTTCAGCGGTGTCCTAACCTTTTGTAATCCGGTAGAGCTCACCGCTTATAGATCTATTCTGTCATAGCAGTTGAAAAACACGAGTTTATTTAATGCTCAATCAAAAAATCGCATGGTGGTGCCTTACGAAGTTACGATAGCTAAAGGTGGGAGGGGTCAAGTATGGGGTTGAAATTAGCTCTAGCGGGGCCATTTGGCACGCTGATTTCAGTATACAATTTTTTTTGAAAGCGTCATCTCGTATGGTAAGTGATTGTAAGGGGCTAAACCCACAGATTTGGCTGCAGCGCGGTCTGGAGCCATCACAGGGCACGCTAAGTGTTGTTATTAGGTATATTTTGTAGAAATATATACGTACTAATAGAAAACTTACGCAGGGTTTACCTGACATGCTCACCACGACTAGGCATTAATTTCGCATGATAAACCTTTATTCTACGGTTTTTGATGTCCTGAACTGCATAAGGTGAGTGTTTATTTACGCACCTTTAGAAACGCATAATCTTTGGCTCTACAAAGGATTTTCGCATACGATCAGTCCGGCAAGCTGAAGATTTCCAGCATCTGAGATCTTGACTTCATACAGTAAATCTACCCTAGCTCCCCAATACTGCATTTTGTAATGAGCGAGGTATATTAGTGTAATATTCGCAATTACCGCTAAGAATTTCTATGAACTCAATTTCAATCAAACCGATGATCTTGACCCTTGCCGAAATCCATCAAAAGGCATTACCTTCAAAAAGACTGTATATTGAACATATTGAGTTAATTGGCGATTCCACTTAATACAACCCAAAAGTTGAAAATCACGACTTTGATGAAAACTCGCCCAGGGGGTTATTCGACTTGCTGATTACGAAAATGATGTCCATTTCGCCTGGTGGGGTGTTTTGAGGGGTTGCGGTAGGCTACGATATGGAGTCAAAGTTTCAGAATTCGCTAAAACTTTGCGTAGGGGATTATTCGACATGCTGATCACGAATATCACACTTTTTCCGCACGAAACCTCTCCCTGTATGATTACGGTAGGTGTACGGTAGGAGGTCAAAACCTAGATCTGCTGGAATTCGGTCCGGAGGGGTTATTTGGCACGCTGAACATGGATATCGTATTGACTTCGTACGGTAGCACCATCTTCTCGAATTACGGTAGGTACACGGTACATGGGTAAAAATTTCAAAATTGCTTAAGACGTTGCCTAGAGTGGTTTTCAACGAATATCAGGCTTGCTCGCTATAACACGCTTTGTTGTGGAGTTATGGCAATTTGCAGCGCTTAGGGAAGCATCTTCCCCGCTTTTCGGACCAATTGAGGTCGCAAAAATCCACGAGAGCGCCTTATAAGCGAAATGAGCGCGGTATTCGTGATAAGCACATCAGATAACACCTCTGCACAAACTTTCAGGCTGATCTACGGTTTTGACCCCATACCATATACCCACCGTAACCGTACAAGGAGGGGTTTCCGTGCAGGAAAAGTGTGGTACTTGCGATCAGCATGTCGAATACCCCCCCCCCCTACACAAAATTTTAGCGAATTCTGAGATTTCGACCCATACCGTATGCCTCCCGTGTAACCCCTCAAGGAAAGTCTCACCATGCAAAATAAATATCATTTTTGTGATCAAGAGGTCGAGTAACCCTTTTGAGCGAATTTTCAGCGAAATCCGTTACTAATTTTTGGGTTGTATTAAGTGGAATAGTACCGAGTAACTCCCATAGAGCAAGCTTGAGCGATATCCCTGATTTACAACTTAGAGGTCAAGATGCTGGAATAGTACAAAAATCTGCCGAATAACCAATCGTCAGACATATTCGGAGTCTAGACTTCTCAGCAAGCGATTTCAATAAGTTCTACTCGCTTTCTAACCATAAAAAACTCCGTTCTAGTGCCACTGCATTCTCCCACCTAATGCAAGAGCCACCATTAGTGGAGGCGGCCTGCAAGATTGCCAGAGGCCTGTTCAAGATTTGCAAAATGTGGTCCTGAGCAGAGGATTTGTGGGAACTACGGTGTTTTGCCGAGGGCAATCAATATGTATTGACTTGGTATTGCGAGGCTGTAGATGTTCCATTATAATGGTGTCTTACTCGAATTCTGATTGTGCATTAACATCCCTTATGGCAACCAGTATGGCTTCTTGTGTTGTTTTTCATTTCACTTCCATGCTGAGCTGTATCCGATTGTTAACCAAGTTGCCTATTTCAGATTTTCTTATTTTTTGTATATCACGCTATGTTCTTCCATTTGTGAGAGTCGATATGGTCGATCATTTAGAAGTAAGGTTTGATAAGATTCAGGTAATGGTTCGGAAGATGAAGTGGTGTTCAAAGATTGACTTTTCCGAATCAAATTTTTATGGAGCCTTTTTCCACATACTATCTGTGGCAATGGTGAGTAGTGAGAGTTTCAATTCAGTCGGATCTCCATTGCAACATTATGGGATGAACTCTTAGGCAATATGTTCGCTTTTGTCCAGCGAGTGGATATTGATCGAGGAACCATCTATGAATTCTACGTCATCTGATCCTGAGCTTTTCTTCGACGTTTCTCGTTCTGATCGTTGCACTAACATAGGTACTACTTCTTATAATGTTTCTTCTGATTCTACTCTTTTTTCGTTGATATGCTCTCCAAATTTTGTCGATAGGCATCTCTGTGCGCTCAAATTGTGGATTTCCTCTTTTCTCGCAACTGTGAATGTATGATCGTCTCCACGATTCGTGTAGAGGCGGGTTGCGGGCTTTTCCTGATTTTAAGGATGAACTTATCAAAACTTTACGTCATATCATTGTTTTTCGTACTCTCTCGCTATCAAAAACCGCCACGCTTTGAGCTGGCAAAACCCCGCCTCTACACGAATCGTGGAGTCGATGATACAATTATGCGGTGACTACAAGCTAGGTCTACTTGTGACTCACTGCTTTTGACATAAGTTCAGAACAGAGTTGACTTTGATTACTTGATTATACACTGTCAAAATTAGGATTAGTTTTTACTGCCGTTCAGGATTCCTTTACCTACAATATAGACCACCTCATAGCGATATAGTCCATCTACTGAATCGTTGCACCCACGCCCTTAGGCTTAATACATACTTGCCGTAAAGGTATTGATAAGACCAGCCAGCAGCGAAGTCTTCGGTGGTCAGCGCTGCAATCGGCTGCTTCTTGGATACATGTTGACTACAAAAACCATCCGAAAATCACTGCTCTATTGTTAATTTTCATCATGTCAGAAAGGAAAGTATCAGTTAAAATGCAAGTCAGGTCAGAGTCATATTCCTTTTTTTGAGAAGTCCTTATTTTTCCTTCATTGACCATGATTAGTTCACTGGAGGTCAAATCTTATCTGACTGCGTTGTCAGTGGCTTCCTGATTTCTTGCCTATCCGTAGTTGGTTTTCATTATTACACATCTCTTTAAATTCAAATAGTGTGCCGCTTTAGTTCTTTTCACAATACTTCCCCATGTCAGCATCCAAAAACTGTAGTTTATGATGATCATGCAGTTCTTGTGACATGCCCATATAAAAAATATGGAATTTATCCTGAAAGACCTAGTTTCAGCTTGTAAATTGGTAAAGATAGGTAGCCTCGAGCCAAAACAGCTTGGAGCTGAGTTAAGCTCATGAAGAGTGAGCGAAATTGGTTGCAAATCTTTCCATTTGTCCTTGTTGAGCCTTTTCCAGTGGTTTTTTTTTTTGGGGGGGGGGGGGGTTACTCATCAATCATCCCAAGGGGTAAATTGAGTAATATCATTTTCAAGCTCTCAAAATACTTGAAACCGAGTGTGCCGAGGTGGAGAGGCGGATCTATTCCATTCTGCCTTTTACCAGACTGCTTGTTTTAGGATGTCGAGATTTTTGGCGCCCTGCTCGTTTTGGCGGTTTCTTGGATAACAAAGGGAAAACGCACATCGCATTCCACTCCAGCGAACGTGGTTAGTTTCGTTCTATCTTGACTTGCAGGGTATGGTTTATCTTTTTTCTATGACTTTGCTTCTTGCAGTGCTACTAGACTGCGTTACTCCGATGGTTGCTAATCTTTTCTACGTCCTGATTGCTCTCTGTTTCGTAATTGCTCTCACATCATCGCTATCTTTCATTATGAATCTTCTTCCACCACCTAATGGTTTTCTGCAATGGCTGAAGAAAAACACGATTTTTGAAATGTGCAACAGTAAGTTTGAATGATTTTTTGATTCCACAGTCTTATTTATTTATTTATTTATCTATTTCCTGTGTTTCAGTGCTTTTAACTTTATGCGTCTGCGTGGTAGCTCTTATTGCTCAGTGCGAAGTAGCACGTGTCAGACAGGATTGTGATGTTTCACTCGGTGGCGGTGTATTTATGGTCTGCCTGGCTGGCATGATGTGTTTCTTCGCTGCCACTTCTACACTGCGCCATTCGTGAGTTGCCGTTGAATATATCTTTTTCTTCTTATCCGTTTTGGATTTGTTGTGTAGCCTGAGTAAATCCTAGAGGATTTTTAGCTTCCTTCTTTCTCATGATTCCGAAAATGTGCATAGGTATGAACGCGCGAACTATGAATGAAAGTGCTAATAGCTGTTATCGCAGTCGCTTAGGTTCTCGCTAGTCTTCTATATTATGTGCGAACTCTTTCACTGTTGACAAAACTTGATAAGGTCATTCAAGCTAATTGTTTTACGGCATCAGCTGCCATTTACTTTCTTACGGGACTTGCCAATCCGTGTTAAGTACATTGCTTGATATGGAGGTTTGAGCTTAGAAAATATCGAAAATGTCCTCGCATGCTTTTGATTAGTCTGCGTTTTTTTCACAGTAACAGTGCATCATCTCTCCTTTGGAGAACTTCGCACTGAATATAAGTGCTGCTACCTTTCTCGCTTTTGTAGCTCTTTGCAAAGTAAGCTTCTCATCGTATGCACGAAACACTGTCTGCCCTCTTTACACACAATAATGCTTATAAAAATCTTTCTATCACCTTTACAAATAACGAAAACGACGGCGTTTCTATTAGGTTGTTTCAGTTGATGCAAGTTTTTCAAAATTCGTCTTTGAATCACAGCAACTTCTTCCTAATCCGATCTTTTTGAATGTAAATTGCGAACAGCAAACCTTGGCTGTGCAACCCATGCTCTTGTGTAACCCCAGGAAATTTTTCAGGAGAGCTCTAATTTGAGAAAACGTAATTCACTCCCAAATGTACTAGAGCGGAGCAAACTATATTCATTGTAAGCCAATTCTCTCTTGAGCAGTGCAGCAATTCGGATTTCACGAAATTTTTTTTGCGAGGAGACATGACAAAAAAAATTTGTAGTACCCACTCTACGGCATTTTAGAGGAGACAAAAATTTGGCTTTTTGATATTTTTCAATCTTTCTTTGCTGGAAAGCGGAAAAACCTACCATCCTCATACCACTAAGTGTACTGGGTCTGCCCTTGTTTTGTATTGCAAAAGCTCAGCAATCGCTTTTTGTTTATGATTTCAACACGGCAGAGAAAATCCTCAACGGCTTCAGTTTGCTATGATATTTTTCAGCTCAAGGTTTTTCGAAATTGAGAAACATTCTTTAGCACGAAATCTCGCATCCTTTACGTTTCTTAGGAAAAATTCCAGCATTTTTCTTGAATTTAGGACAAAGAGAGCAGAAGGGAAGAATTCTGAGATTTAGTCTCTTATTTTTCTTTTGGAGGCCCCAGACTTGACAATGAACAAAGATTAAAAAAGCGACAGCAAGCATAAGGAACTAGAAATAACGCTCTTCAGGACACATTAGAAAGTTAGAAAAATGGATCTGCTTTTGAAACCAGCGCTCCTAAGAAGAGTAAGAAAAATTTGCATTGATCATGAATTAACCTAATTGTTGCTGTAAGATTGTGGTTACATAATGACCAATCGTATAGAACTAACTAGTTATTTTGCAATGCAACTGCGTCGCAGAAATAATCCTACTGGCAGTTTTAGTACAGTGTGTCTCTAAAAAATGTGCCTACTGTTTGATTGTTAACAACTCTTTTGTAATGAAGTCTTTCGAGAAGTTTTAGGCACCATTTTGTAGAACTAGCTTCCTTAGATGTACAGGGTGTCCCAAAAAAATGTGAACACTGTTTGATCGTTAATAACTCCGTTGCTTTCATGTCTTTCGCCGAGCTTGAGGTACCATTCTGTGGAGCGAGGTTCAGCTTACATTTGTAGTATGGAGCGCATCACCGATCGCTGTTCGTTACTGTAGGATTACGGTATGAAGTTCTAGCATGTGGATCTACAGTGAAATATGCCATTTGACAAAATTTTCTCCAAAAAATCTGAGAAATCGTGTACCGGGGTTTTTGCGCACGCTGATTCCATTACACAACTTTTTATGAGTGTTTTTAGCTTTTTTGACGGTGTATTCACATTTCTGACAAATGCTGGAAATTCAGTTATTTCGGTTTACCTGAGGTGACCTTGGAAAGAAGCATCACAGTAAAGTGGAAATTTCATATTCGAAATCAGCGGCTTCCATTTCGTAGTCTAGAAGTTTTTGGCTTGTTTGGTCTTGTTCCGAGGCAGAATGTGGGCTTCAATAGCCTAAAATCCTTGTCCAAGTTCCTACCGTAATCCTACAGTAATGAAGAGCGGTAGATGATTCGCTCCATACTGTAAATCTAAGTTAAACCTCGCTCTATAGAATGGTGCCTCAAGCGCTGCGAAGGTCATGAAAGCAAAGGAGTTATTAACAATCAAACAGTGTTCACATTTTTTTGGGACACCCTGTACAATATAAAACAAATCACCCATCTTTCTCGTTGCTATAGAATTACGGTATAAACTTCAAAGAGGGTTTTGAGCTTTGAAAGGCCACATCTTGCCTCAAAAAGGAAACAAAACAGCCTGAAAACTTCCACACTGGGCTAGTTAGAGTTGCTGATTCTGAAGTTTGGAAGTTATAATAATGCTTCATCAAAAAATTATGCGAGGTAAGCAGTAGCGGCCGTTTTCCCAATGTTCCTTAAAAGTGGGGTTATACCGTTTAGAAAGCTTCGCGACCTTGTACGTAATTGAGTATCGAACTCAGCGTCAACGAAAATCCTATTGCACAAGTTTTCACATTTTTTTTGAAAATTCTTGAAAAGGCATCTTTTTTCACACACCATATGTTTGAAGTTCCTGCCTTAATCCTACAGTAATGAAGATCGACCGGTGGTTCGCTCTATACCGTAAATCTAAGTTAAAGCCATCCCTACAGAACGGTACCTAAAGCTTCGCGAAATACTTCATTACAAAAGAGTTGTTAACAATCAAACAGTAGGCACATTTTTTTGACGCCTGTATAACCATTTTACTCTTGGATCAGAGTGTGTTGTTGAAAAATGGGAACATGCCGGTTTTTTGTGTTCGTTGTTATAAATATGAACACTTTTGAGTGTTTTATGGAAGTCTTCCAGAGTTGCTGTTCAGTATTTTCTCTTTTCTTCGTTAGGGCTTCGACAATTCTATAATTTTGTTTATATACAAAATCATACAATGATTTTCAGTACTAAAATGAATCGGCTTCGTCGAATCGACAATCAGCGACTTCTGTGTGCCAGATCACTGAGATCCTGGCGCGATTCTGCGCGCCGATCCGAGGATGTTTTACCGATTGTCGATTTCGAAAGGTTCGCAATATTCAGTCATAGATCACTCCCTTTTTTCGTTGTACCAGGGCTTTTGTATGATACAGTCGAATTTATGAGAGTTGTCAGTCTCCCGGAGTTGGTCATAGATCATGCATGCATGCATCACTTATTTATTTTGAGGAATTTCGTTAACCGGCTACCATGTTTGACTTCGCTCGGGCCCTGTTAGTTATCCCATCACGGGGCGCACCAAGTTTCACTTTCACTAACTGTTCCACAGTAGCGCGAAATTAGTGAGCACCTCAAATCGGGTGGTGATCCCACCGATAGTTAACATAATTGTAATCTTCTCTTACCTACCTGTTCGCCGCGCCCCGATAGGTATACTTGGAAATTTGGTCTTGATCGGCTCGATTACATGCACCATGCTTCTAATCGGAAACGCACAGACCACATACAGACAAATTTGCAAACATTGACTTTCTGCATAAGGTCTGGAGCTTCATTATCACTTATGGTCAGTTAAGTGAAGACTATGACTTACACCATATCTTTGACTTGTAAATGTACATCTCGGATCGCATTACTCTGCCATTTTCAGGTATCTCGATTCGTCTTCCTCATTAGCTGATATTGGCGTGGCCCACTCAAACCCGGTTACAGCATGAGGTCAAGGAAGTTACTGAAAGTCTCAGTTGTCATTCATCAGGATCTATCTACTCGTCACCCACGACCCGGTGTGTTTTACCGTACCCATTTTTACTCTGCTCGACTAAGCCTTCCCTGTTTTTGGAAGTCTCTTTGCGGATCAGTTTTGGGTAATAAGTTTTGTTTGTTGGCTTCCATATTGCCATACTTCATCGGCTGTATAGCGAATACTTGTTGTCTTTGCACATTACGTATAGTCAAGTAGATCCAATTGCTGTTGTGTGCAAATGCACATAAAAGCTAAAGAGCTTGACGCTTGTTTTTATGGAGGATGTTTACTGCCAACGGATGGAGGAATGAATAGCGCCATTGAGCGTCATTTCCGCGTACCATGGGTCCTTTCGCTCATGGTTCTGCATATGGTGTGAGGACTAGTAGTCTACTTAGGCAGCTCCTAATGCCGGTAATCGTTTCTCTCTTTGCGAACTGGCCTCCTCCGTGGATGAAGGTATAGATTATGCGCGATGTTATTACCCTAATTTCACGCGTATAAGGCGCACTTTTTCGAATTTTCAAGCGAGCCGCTCAGCCGCTTCACTGTATTCCGCAAAGAAATTCTTACATCGCACGATTCTCTCAAGCAATATACAGCACGTTATAGGGTCCTTTGGTTGTAAAGTCCTTTGGCTTGTCTGGGCTGGTCGATTTTGGAAAAAAATCCCCGCGCCTTATGCGCGTGAAATTAGGGTATATCTTCGCAGTTTTGTGAACGCCTTGTGTAGTAGATCAGTCTTTTCATTAGAATAGATTTCTATTCAAAAATAATCGTGTCAAGTACTCTGGCGTACTCATATGTGGGGTGCTGCTGCGGTGCGTTGAATTGAATTTTTTGGGGTTTTGTAGAGACCCAGTTCTGCACCTTTTGCCTAGGAGTTGAAATGTCGAGGTTAGTCACTCAGTGTTGCCAAGTGTAAGCGATTATGGAAGTTATTAGTGTATTCGATGGTTATAGACAGGAGAGATGCTCAAAACATGCGAATTTTATCTATACCTAAGTACTTTGTTGCGCTGATCCCCACGTGCACTTTGAGAATCAAGCAGCCAGTTGGGCGTTGTATACTACCCCGACAAATTCGCAGGAGTCTTCGAAGCTTTTGTCGTTACTTCCTTTCTGATATGAGTTCTAAAATCCGACCCATTTTTCTAAGGTGCCTGAAATGCAAGCATTTGCATTTTCATGACATCATGGCACAACGTTTCGCCAGTCCGTCAATGTAACGATGATTCGGATTCGAGGGGCTTGGAACCATCCCCGAAATACTCACAGAAGATAATCTGTCCGGATACAAGTTTAAAAAAATCAAAATCAGAGATCCGCTAGCTATCGAGATGTAGCAAAAAGCGACTACATTAGCGGCAGCTTTGGGTGTTCTAATGGAACTTCCATATCTGAGCCAACAATAAGTATCACGTTTGAATCTGGCCGGAGATGAGGGGCGTATTCAGTCGAGCGGTCTTTACCAGTGATCCAGTGCCAGCTAAATATGCTCTGGTATGATTACAAAAGAATCTCGTAATGTAATAATCTGCATGAAGGTTGCCGAACGCCATAGAATACCTTCCAACGCCTAAGACGCGTTAGAAAATCTATGATGCCCTAGGTATATTTGATGTAGACACCTAATGGGCGCAGTTCCGCCGGGATAGGCGAGGCTACCACCGGCGGAAGTGGAACGGGTTCTGTCCATGGGGTAATGACCAATGTTGGCACCTCATCGGCATCCCTGGGAAGACGTTTGGATATACTGGAACAGTATGTTTCGAAGCCTGTGGATGCATGGAAGATCCTCATTCCTGTGCGCGGTTACTAAAATCATGAGTCGGATTCGAAGTCGGCTTGAAATCGTTGCTGAGAAGCAGAAGATAATCTACCCGAATGCAAGTTGCTTAAAAAAGTCAAACTTGAAGATCCGCTAGCTACCGAGATGTATATGCAAAAAGTGAATACATCATCGGCAACGTTGGGTGAAATTTGCGATGGACATCTCAAATCCGAGCCAAGGTTCACGTTTGATTCAAGGTCAAGCGGTCTCCATCAAGGATCTGACGCCAGCTGAATATGCTCTGGGATAATTACAAAAGACTCTCCGAATAGCAATAATCTTTATGAAAGTTGCCGAAACCCATGGGGTCTTTCCAACGCAGCTGAGGCGTTCCTTTCGCGAACCGTGGTTGCTAAGGGACGGATTTACTTGATACGACACATCCTTTGGAAAAAAATTGAAGTATGTCGGACAATTCCCGTACGGAGACCTCCAGAACTTCTTCCAAATTCTGGCTTTTTGTGTCGTGAAAGAACTATCCTTAGAACGTTACGAGCTATGTCGGCACAAGACAGAACCTATAACCATGAGGGGATTGCAATGGCGGCAGACTGCCGTCTAGTAACTGCTTCCTTCGACATGGAAAAGCAGATAGCCAATCTCCTATAGACCATAGAAGCAAATAATATGCATGTCTAAGTATTTGGTCCTTTGGTCCCTTTCTTATATGCAGGAATGATGATTCATGCTGTGCCTGGCAGTCGCGACTTTGGCTGGACTCTGGTAAATTTCCCGCAGAAAAGCGCATGTTGGCGATAGCAGCCAGATGGTCTATATACGGGATGTCTTCACACGATTCAGAAGCGATAACATCAATGAAAATCATAGTTCAGCCCATCTACAGCCGATCTCTAAGGGAACCTATGCAACGTATGGGGCGTACCAAAAAAACTGCATTCTGTCGGCGGGTGCTCGCGGTAGTAGGTAATATGCCTTCACACGATTCAGAAGCGATAACATCAATGAAAATCATAGTTCAGCCCATCTACAGCCTATCTCTAAGGGAACCTATGCAACGTATGGGGCGTACCAAAAAAACTGCATTCTGTCGGCGGGTGCTCGCGGTAGTAGGTATATAATATGCCATGCTGCGGAATGCATATCGTCTTCATATCTTAGCAGTTGATCTTATTCTCATAACACACTTTGCCTTTATCTAAGCTTTACATCTTGTTCTCACAACATAGCTTCTCACTTGCACATTTTTATGCACATACGCTTACAACGGAAAAAACGTTTGCAATTGCTAATAGAATGATGAAGCCAGCTAGCGGATTCATATATAAATGCTTCAGCCATCTCATTTAATAACGAAAGAGGTAAAAGGAGCGAAGTTCGAAGCCCTGTGGTAGCCGTAATGCGAGAGAAATGGGGCTACCTAACATACTGAGAAGAGCGCTTGCCCTAGGGACTTGCATATGTATGATAAACAAAGATCAAGAAAACTTCAGTGCGAAGGTTTTACCCTACGGTCAAAGGGTAGGTTATTCCTCTATTACTACACAGTCACCAACAGAAACTCATGTTTTTATGAGATCCCCTTATCAAAAGAGTTGAGAGACTTCAAAATAAGCGCAACCGATCATAAATGCATTGCGGAGATGGTAGGCCTTGCACAAGGAAGGAACTGCGGCTGTGGCCATAACGGATTAGAAGAGTTTGAGTCTCTCTACTAGTTGGCAAAACATCTCGGAAAAGAGAGCGAGAGGCTTTGGAGATTGAAGCGGCTCTGTCGACATCATTGTACCGGCGGTGGTAGAACGTCCCAGTGACATCTTCGTCGAAAATGAATTAAGGTTTGCATGAAGTTTTGGTGCAACACGGGGGAAACTTTTGTTGACGCATTTGTAACGGGGAAGAGACGACCGTCTTATGAATGATCTGGTAATTAGAATTCATTTTGTTATGTTCTTTGTATCCGTGTCTACAATTAGACAACGAGGGTGGTAAGACGGTCAGTCGCGCTTCGCACGTAGATTAACAATGATTCAAGCGTTACACTTGGAATTAGCGTGTACAAAATAACTATATAGTAGAATGGCGGAAGCATGGTAAACACATGAGCCAAATGTTGCTTTTTTGGCAAAAAGCAGAGGTGAAGATTGCCAGAACCATTTGCATAGATGTTAGCTGGCAAACTTTTTAGAAGAACCTGTCTTGAAAATCCTCAGTTTCACATTGATATAATATTGTAACGGATCTCCTGTAGAAAATGGCTGCTTTCATGGATGTGTTTGCTAAATCATTTGTCAGTTTAACGGAAGGTTTTGTAAGAAAGGTAATAGAAGTCCATGATCCACATATTGATATTTGAGTCAAAAACGATGTACGAAGCGACACTACTGCTTCGAATCATCGGAGATAGTTGGCTGATAGCCTAAAAATTTTGTCAAAAAACATTTTTAATAGCGTGTACATTTGCATACAACAGCGGATCTGTTTGACTGTACTCTAATAATGAGTTATTTATGTATATAGTGTACAATATTCTAGCGGTGATTGTCTTATCATTCATGTTTTTGTTTTGAAGGCTTGCAGTCATATACATAGTAGCGAGAAATGATAGTAAAGATTCCTATCTGCACAATGTCCGGTAACTTTGTATCTATTCTGATTACTACTGCATTAATCTTGGTCCACATTCTTACTAAAAACTAGTCATGGTATTCATTTGATTTTCTTGCTTAAGCTTGCATCACGATGTGCTTCAGGACTTAGATTTCTAGTTCAATTGTTTGTTCGTTTTGCTTTGTAGGAATTTTATGGTGATCTCATATTGTGTTTCTGTCTTGCTCGAAAAGTTGCGAACTTGCAGATGTAATGAAATTTTATCGATTTGATGAGAGGATTCTTTTAGCATAGATTTTAATTCCGCAGATAAAGAAATTATGGAATCATTATCAGTTTCTGAGTGCATCTGGGTAATTTCCTTCAGGGCTAAAATTATTACTCTAGCCCACGAATTTCTATTGCTCTGTTCATTCATCTGCTGGAGTCGATGGAGGCAGAGTGCGGAGTACAGTGGCGTGAACGGACAGATGCACCCAGCCGCGCATCACGCTCTATTCTCTCACTTAAACTTACAGCGGAAGCTGAATCAAGAAATAAGAAGTTCCGAAATAAAGTTGCTCGAATTTTTTGGTAAGCAAAGCATGTTAGTGTGTGCAGGCACTGCCTTCCCTTCCTCCATCAATGAGTCTACGAAAGACCAATTTCACTTGATATCGTCACTTGTGTGAGGGAGTGCATATACCTTAAATATCTGATTTTCTTTGAATATTCATGTTTTTCAGATCATGAAGAAATTTCATTGGAAATCCTTCGCAGTATCATCCAAAATGAATTAATTGCCTGTAGAGTCTGTGTCAGTTACATACTCCCTTTCGCGTAGGGACTACACTTCCGCAACGCGAGGATCCTGCGTGCAGACCTCTAATCGATGAGGCCAGTCTGGGAGCTCACTCCGTACGCGCGCAAACGTGTCGCGAAGCTCTGAAGCCCAACCCTCCCCCCCCCCCCCCCGGCGATTGCATCGATGGAAAAGGGAATATTTGAATGGCACATAAGTTGTTACCTGAACATGGGCGAACTGCTCAATGTTGGCGGATGAGGTATTATTTTTGGGCCTTGTTCTTA